AATCCATTTTTAGTTTTCAGGGATTTTTTTTTTTTTTACCAAACTTTGTATAAAGATGATTCTCAACTATGTTATAACAGAATGATTTGATATACCATTTTTCTTTCTGTAAAATGGCCATAAACTGGTTTTCTCATTATATACAATGTATTTATAAACTACATCTAATTTGCATATTAATGTGTTTTTGGGGCAACATGTAATGAAAAAAAGAAGTGTAATAATGGGAGTAATATTTGACAAGATTTTCATAATAATATATAATATTTCATAGAATATTGAAACATAATTTCTTTTCCTATTCATTTGTTATGTCTCCCAAAATGCTAATAAACATGCTTTTAGTCCCAGTGTCCTCATATGAGGACATGTATGAAATCGACATTCTGTTCCGTAACAGAAAGTCATATTTTAATTTGAATCCCCATAACATTTTCCTGAGATGTTGATTTATGACAGACATTAAAAATTAAACAGATTTAAATGATAATTACAAAATATTATCATATTTCCATAAGAGTGTCACTAAATTAATATCAGACATATTTGAAGACCAAGGAGAGGGAGTGGTCATAGTGAAACATCCAAACATTTAGTATCTCTGAAAAGCCCTGAATGTGCTCTGTACAGGATATCCAGACTTAAAACTGTGGCATGTATAGTCTCAGAGAAATACACCAAAATAAAATGTCCTCATATGAGGTCACAGGGTCTCAGGAGGTTAAAAGTAATTTACTGAGAACGTGTCGAACAATGACGCTGCATATCGCCTCGTGTAGAAGTTTCATTTCCAATGACCGTTGAGGACCGCTTTTGTGAACCGATTCAATCGATTTATTGAAAAGATCCGACTCAAAAGAACGGATACGGCGGATACGATAGGCATAGCATTTAGGGTTGGAAATAATCTTTCGATAACATTAGTTGTAATATTAATAACATTCTACATTTGGTGATGGGCTTCTTTGCACAACACCAAAGCCTTGTACGATGAAAACTGAAAAGGCACTGCGCATGCTATACGCTTAACCAAACGTCATCTGCAACGTATTGTCACGTGCAGGAGATAAAGTTCAAGTTTATCTTTATATCACAGAATACTTACAAACTATGCTTTTCAGTTAAAATCCTCGTTGTCTTCAAAAAATGAATCCGGTTATGGCTAAGCTGAGCATTCGAATCAATGAATGTGAAAGTGAAAATACAATTCATCAACATTTGCATCATGGGAAGTAACTTAGTTTTTTAAATTAAAGGCGCTGCACTAACTGTAGGATTAAACACAATTGTAGAACAATTTATGGTAACACTATAAAATAAATGCGATCAGTATGTGAAGCTGCATTTAAAGTGGTAACAGACGCATGTTGCCAGATCCCCCTCAATTCCCAAGTCTCTGGAACTGAACCTGAACCTTAAATACCACCAGGAAGATTGTACTGAATACTGTAATTTTGAAATAAATAAATAAATAAACAAGGTTGTGTGTGTGTGTGTGTGTATATATATATATATATTCTGTATTTAGTCTTTTCAGTTTTTCTTCTGTTTTTATATAATTTTATATATATGTATTTATTAATAAAATAAAATAAATACTTTGAGCAGTTTTCATTAGTTGTGCATAGTCCCTATACATTTTTGGACACAATGTGATTGAATGGGACCTTGAACACCGCACAAAGTTCTAAGTCTTTAAATTTGTTTCAGTGATGGTGGAGAACATTACTTTTGTTGGTGGCGGTCATAAAGTGTGACAGTCAATGCTTATAAACTCAGTGTACATACTGATGTGTGTGACTAGAACATGTAATTTTATAGTCAATCTGAGCGTGCCAGGAGATAAAGTCCAACATGACATTTCACTAAAATCATTCATGCGTAAACTATGGTTTAGTTCAATGGTTCTCAACCTTTTTTTTCCCACTGGGCCGCACTATGGTCCAAGTGCAAGTCTCACGGGTCGCACGCATATCATTTACATATTATGTCACCAATACAAACCAACCAGATTTATAATAGCCTATTATAGCCTAAATATTATGATATCTAATCGATTACATTCATTGAAATAAATAAATAAATAATTATACTCACCATTAATAAAACACCTGATGCTGTCGGGAGCTGACCAATTTTATGAAATTCGGCTCGAAAGGAGGCGGGCGTACACGGTGCGATTTTTGCTGTCGTACGAGCTCGCAGGCGATTTTTTTCTCTCGGGAGAAAATCGCAGATGCTCGCGGCTCGTACCGTGTGAAGTCATAGTTTACGCACGGGCTCGGCCGGTAATTCTGATAAGCTGTCGGACAAGGGCCGGGCTAGGGCCTGAACGTCATGTTTGAAGCCCGTGCAGGGCTCTAGCCTGAACATCTTCAAGTGAGTGGCGGGGCAAACCGAAAGTTGATGCCGAAAGTCCAGCACTCTCCTACCTTCACTGCTGCGACTACTCTTGTTTGTATGCGTTCCTTCGCTGGCATTTTCCACATTTCGTTTTTCTCCCTTAATAACAAATGTGTCCATTCTGATGCTCAATTTTACCGAACTAATGGCTGCTGATGAGTTTTTCTCCCTTAATAACAAATTTGTCCATTCTGATGCTCAATTTTACAGAACTAATGGCTGCTGATGACTATTTTAATTGAATTCTGCCAAAGTGCGCTTGTAACTGTTCGTTAAATGCGTAACGTTACGTCAGGCTACAGGTCTGCTCATGTCTGAAAATAATATATGAAAAACAAAATTATTTTACATAACAAAAACATTATAGCTTATATTTGTTTAGTACATTTTTAAATTAATGTAAAAACTAAAATGAATTGTAAAACTGAAAGTTATTTTTTAAATTGTGTTCAGCATGGTGGGCCGCATTTGAATTCGTGACGGGCCGCATGCGGCCCGCGGGTTGAGAACCACTGGTTTAGCTGAATCCCTCTTATCAGTAATAGGAACTTTGGTGAGCAGTTACAATGACAAAACACTAACTTTCATCCATATGTTCTTGACACTATGGTAATAACATTTATTTCACACCCTCCTGCCCACCACTCTTGTCACAGGCTATATTAGTGGAGGACAGGGCTGGCTGGACACATTCAGGAGGTGCATTTAGGCCTTTGACATACTAACATTATGCTTAAGGAGGTGCTGTTGAGTGTCCTCGCAGGAGCAGTGGCTTTTATTGTAGGGATTCTACTGGGACACTTCGCCATTGACAAGGGAAGTTCGGTGCCAGACTGGGTTTATTGAAAAATTATTGAAAAATTCCTTGCAGAACTGGACACCAATCAACTTAGAGGGAACCTCAGGTGAAGTATTTATACTGAGGCACACAATTATGAGATTCTAATACAATTAAATGGCCAGCTTTGTACAACATCTAAGAACATTTCACTTGGTATATGATCTGTTTGGGGTTGTTTGTTCCAGCTGAATTGAGAATTTACTTCGTCTCCTTCATCCAAAGGGAGCTGACTAAGGTTCCCCACATGGCCACCACCCCTGGAGATGAAGCAACCGTAGAGTTTATGCTGAAGAGATGGCAGGACCAATTATCCAAAAGTATGTTAAAGGGATAGTTCACCCAAAAATGAAAATTTGATGTTTATCTGCTTACCCCCAGGGCATCCAAGATGTAGGTGACTTTGTTTCTTCAGTAGAACACATATGATACTTTTTAACATGTGTCGTCACGAGCCGCCGGGTTTAATTTGGATTTGTCTGTGCATGTTTTTTTTACTCTCATAGATTTTGTTACCATTGCCATGCATTATACGACTGATAGACTGCAACGGTTAAAGTAAAAAATCATCATATGTGTTCTACTGAAGAAACAAAGTCACCTACATCTTGGATGCCCTGGGGGTAAGCAGATAAACATCACATTTTCATTTTTGGGTGAACTATCCCTTTAAATGATGTATAAGAAAATTAAGAATGAAAAACTGTTTCGTTTAGTTGACCCAGAAAACAGAGTCCTCTTTATGGCAAGAGAGAGAGAGTAGGCATATAAGCCAGACCAGGAGGACCCAGAGGTGGTCCAGCCATTCACAGCATATTCCCCTGCAGGAAATGTCAAGGTGTCTTTTCCCACCTTAATATACTCCACAGTTCATGCATGCTTATATATTATTCTTTGAAGATTCATTGATTATAGTTTACATTTGATCGAAAGTAAAAGTAAAGACATTTACAATGAAAGATTTCAATTTCAAGATTTCAGCGTTGCTCTCAAGAATCATGAAAAAAATTATCATGGTTTCCACAAAAATATGAAACACCACAATTGTTTTCATGATTTATAATAATAAGAAATGTTTCTGGAGCACAATATCAGCATATTAGTATGATTTGAGAAGGATCATGTAACACTGAAGACTCAAACAATGGCCTTCAAAGGAATAAAAGACGCTTTTAAAATAGAAAACAGTTAAACAGTTACATTGTAATAATATTCCACAATATTATGTTTTTGACTATTTTAATCAAATAAATGTAACTTTGGTGAGAATAAGACTTCTTTCAAACATAAAAATCTTACTGACACCACACTTTTGAAAGGTAGTGTACATTCAATAAATATTTTCATTTAATTTTATTACATTAATAATTGCTTTTCCTTATCTCTAATCTCAGTGGTTCCATTTTTTAATGCCTCTGATGTAGGTGTCATCATGACAGACAAATCTATTATCTTATGACATATTGTAATGACACAGGCGTAACTTATGACATAACTGAGCAAGAGATGAAAACGAATGTCTTTATGGCACTTGATTGTTTCAGAAAGAAAACAGAGCGTGTGATGACCTTTGGGGCTATCAGACCATAGCAAACTCATCTACTGATGAGCATATCATGCTATCACTAACTTTATCAAAGGCTTATAAGATTATGTAATTATTACGTAGATATTATAAAAGTAATATTTATGTCTGAATCAAACTGTGATATAGTCCAATATAGTGACTCATCCGTTTTATATGCAGGTCTATGCAAACCAAGGAAAAACGAGTGACTATGAGCTGTTCAACAGAGCGCTGGATCTGAGGGGAACAATCGCCATCACCAGATACGGAGAAGGGAGATCTAAAAAAGTGAGAAAACATTAGTTAAATCAGTTTAAATCTCTGAATAGATCCAGACTGTATAGTTTTATTGCCTTGAATGCATAAAAACATTTTTACTCTCCTGTGGCATGAAAATAACAGGCTATAAATGCAGCCAAGTTTGGAATTGTTGGGCTGCTGGGTCTATACTGAGCCATATGACATGAATGGTGTCAGAAAGTGAAACCTACCCTTACTCTTGGTATCTGCCGCCACCTGGCGTCGAGCGAGGCTCATGCAACATTGACTATTAACACCTTACCTAGCTGCAAAGGGTAACTGGTTATTATTGTTTTTTTTTTGTTTGTTTTTTTTTACATTGAATCATATAAGGTATATGACACATGGTACATAAACAACATATGTAAATGGTTTAATTTGTAGATGATACCTACAGAATACCAAAAGAAGACAAAACAGGTATTCCACCAATTCCAGCTCAGCCAATAGGGTTTGAAGATGCTGAAAGATTAATCTGGTAAGTTTAACTATTTAAGCATATCTTTTCTTTCTTTAGTTACTCACTTTTTAGAATTTAGTTTCCTTCTAATTCTGACTGAATTATCTGTGACAGTGAGCTCGATGGGGACGATGCCCCTGCTGAATGGCAAGGCTCATTTACCTGCACTTACAGGGTTCAAAGCTACATCTTCCTTCAGCAACAGGTAAATGTTGCATATTTGTGCCCAATATACAATGCCTTGCGTTGCATTCATTTTTTTCATGTTTTGTTATGTTGCTGCCTTATGCTAAACTGCTTTAAATTACTTTTTTTCCCACATCAATCTACAACTCCATACACCATAACGGTAAAGCAAAAAACTGTTTTTTTTAAAACATATTTGCAAATTTATTAAAAAACAAAAAACTTAAATGATTTAATTGTATAATTCATACCTTTATATGGGACAGTTGAAATTTAACCTAGGAGCATTCATATTGCTTGTAGATGTTACTACACTTTGAGTGAAGTTATCCTGTGGCAAATTCAATTGAATGGGTATGATTTGGAAAGGCACACACGTCTTAATAAAAGGTCCAACAGCTGATAATGCATATCAGAGCAAAAACCAAGCCCTGAGGCCCAAAAGTAAAGTGTGCTGGTAGCAGCCTCATGCTGAGGGGCTGTTTTTCAGCGGCAGGGACTGAAGGACTCGTCAGAGCAGAAGAAAAGCTCAATGCACCAAAATATT